GAGCTATCAAAAAAAAGTATTCTGAATTCTTCGCTTATTTAACTAAAATCTCTCAAGCTCTATTTCAACAGGCCTTTTAAATGCATAACAGATGGTTTTGCACCTAAATTCTAGCTATCATCAGGTCGCACTTGCTAGCCGAGCAATTCATCATTTCAATATAACTGTCATTTATAAATTGTCGGAATTATGGCCTCATTTATGGAATTAATGTTCTTAAGGTAGTTTTGAAGGACGATTTTTCAATCTACTGCTGGAAGGAATTTATTACTAGTTTCTTTAGGCTAGTCTTTAAGATTGCCATTGACTTAAGGCTATTTCGGAGTCCTACCCAGGATTTGATCATTCATGCACATTGTTTATTGTGGACAGGCTCAGAAGTACACTCCAAACTGTCTGTTGTACGGTATGACAAAGCGGGCCAGAAGTGTGGGAGCACTACTCGTTATGGAAATGGGCAATCTGACCAAAATGTAGTAATTTTCTGAAGAAAGATGCAGGCATCGAACCACATCTATCCAAATTGTGCTCATAAAAGATAACTATTCCACGCAAGATGATACAGAACAGCATCAGTCATGACTTTTTCTGTGTCTCTTCGCTCAGCTAACCATACCAAAATAAAGTCGTTAATTTGATTTAATGCGATTTCCTTAAATCATTCAGGCATCCTTCTAATTGTCCTTTATTTAGGAAACACTAAATGGCTCTTCCAATCATGATTAGATGAGTTTACCATGGTAACGTGCTGGTACAGTTAGGGCGAATTTCGCACAAATACGCTGCCTTAATTATTTCTTAAAGTCTCCGGTTTTAAGCTTTCAGGATTACTTTGAGGAATACGTTTAATGTTAGTGACATTTAAAAATTCTCTCAGCTATACTTTTCATCATGCAATTACGACTAATCTCGCACCAAACATATGAGGTGATTCAAGAAAGGCCACTTCTGACCCTCGAGCATGAAGCTCTATTTGAAGAATAAGCAGAACTTGTATCCCCACTCTTTTGCATGCGTTTCGCACCTCTCGCTTCACTCACCTCTACCCTGTTCATTGTACAAAGCAATTATCACCCATGCCAGAGGCTTCAAAAACAACTGTTAAGCTCTATCGGCCCGTACGACTAGAAGCAATTCTATAGTTGTAAGGCACTTGTGCTAGTCATGTCCCTTGGCGGCTAATCGAGCCTATCTATTCTCAGATAGTTCAGTACACTGGGCAGTCAACTGACGGAAACTTGGGGGGCTACAGCCAATATATATCCGTTAGCCACGATTAGTCTGTACATGCTATGTGTACTAGGTTTCTTCAAAAGATCACGTTACTGACAGGACTGGAGTTGCAGGTCATATTCGAACATGAAAAAACCCAAACTAGATTTCAGCCTTTGCGTTGTAGGGCTTGTATATACGAAATATTCCCCTTATCCAAACCATATGTTCTCTAGCCAAGCTATCCGTGCAGAAGTCAGTAGACAGTAAGGAACAAAATTGATAGCAGTCC